CCGGGACCCCAGCGGGACCCGCCAGCTGCTCTCAGCCAAGTCCCCCTGTGTCCCCAGGGCCCCGTCTGCCCGGGTTCCCCTGCAGCTTTCGGGGAGCGGGGTCCTGCCAGGGCACAAGCGTGGGGTCCCTCAGCACGGAGTGGGAATGAGTATTCGTGGGCTCCGCATAATCACACAGAAAGCCGCCATCCCTGGAGCCCGCAGGCCTGCTGACGCCCAGCTCTGCCTGCCTGGCCGGCCTCTGACAGCCACAACCCTCCCCTGCGAGGCCTGATGGCAGTCCGTCCGCCTCGTGGGAGGCGTGTCCGCAGTGACATTGAACCATTCCAGCCCGTGGAGTGTTTATCGCTCCTGGCCCTCGGGCTGCGGAGAAGGGTGTGAGGCTGGAAGGGACCTGGTCCGGGTCACAGGATCGGTGAGCGGCCGAACCAGGATTCTCAGATTCCGCTCTCAGCATGAGGCACTCCCTGCCCCCAACTCCCAGGACCCCGCCCGGAAGGCTCAGCACCGGGGGTCCCCGAACTCTCTCCGCAGGTGGCTCACGGGGCTGAACCTGCGCGTGGGGGCCACCTGTGCGGCGCCCCCCAGCGCCCGGGGCCAGCTGGTGAAGGCGGCCGTCGCTGTCTTTGAAGTCTGCCCGGGCTGGGCGACCAGGAAGGCCAAGCGGATGCCCGGTGCCCGGAGAGCCCGAGGGCAGGGCTGACATCGGGGAGCAGACGAGGTTGGCAGGGGAAGGGGTGCCTGGGGGGGGCAGGTTCCCAAGCGCCCAGGGCAGCCGGGCTCTGACTTCTCTTGGTCTCAGTCTCATGTGGTTGTAGATCTGGGCAGTGCCCGTGCCCGCCTCCTCACCGCCTCTCCCTCTGGGCTGGGCCGGGCGGGTCTGTGAGGACTCGCTAGGCCACGGCACACTGGGCCGACACGTGCATGAAACCAACCCCGCTGTTCCTGAAAGGCTGATCCCTGCTGGCTCAGCCATTTCCCTCTGATCCCGCGGGCCTGGCTGTGCCTGGGGCGGGCGCCAGCAATGCCAGTGCCTCCCCTGCTCCTGGCCACCAGCTGGACTCCGCTCCGGCAGGCCGGCAGCCGGGGGCATTATGCTCTCCGTCCCGACAGATAGTCACACTGAACGCCAGCCGCAGCCAGGGCTCCGCGCCTCGGAGCGCGAGCGAGGTGTGGGCGCCTCGCCATGTGGGGCCGTGCTGTGTGGTGAGGGCACCGGGGGCCGGAGGGTCTAAGGGGAACAGCCAGTCCTTGGAGGGAAAATGGGAACAGGATGAGATGGTGCTGGGAGGCAGTTGGGGTGCCGGGGACCGTTAGATGGTGCAGTGGTTCCTGGGGCTGCAGAACCAAGTACCACAGACGGTACTTGGTTACCTCGCTGTTCCAGAGGACGGGAGTCTGATCCAGGCCACGCTCCTGCCGACGCTGTAGGGGAGGGTCCTTCCTGCCCCCTCCGGCCTCTGGGGCCCAGACGGTCCTAGCCTGTGGCAGCACAGCTCCCACCTCCGGCACCTCCTTGTCTTCACATCATCTTCGACATCCCGTGTCCAGGTTCTTTATTTTTCAGATTGCCCCTTTTCCCGTACAAGAACACAGACCTGATGGATTAGGGTCCACCCTAATGACCTCATTTGACCTTGATTAGCTCTGTGAAGTTCCTATTCTAAATGAGGTGTTTCTCTGGAGGACTTATGTAACCCCTAGCAGCGTTCCTTGTGGGGCAGGAGGGAGGAGGGAGCCCCTCTACGCCCCCGCTGAAGGTGAGCAGTTCTACCGCAGGCGGCCTGGGCAGTGTGACAGCAGCAGCAGGTGTCAGCTGGCCCTCCTGGGCAGGGACTTGTGCCAGGCTTGTGCTCATGAACGGCCCGGGGCTCTGTGTGCCAGCCCGGGAGCTCCTGGCCGGGGCTTTAGTTCAAAGGGACCCCCCTGCCCTAGCCAGTTTGGTTCAGTGGATAGAGCTCCGGCCTGTAGACTGAAGGGTCCCAGGTTAGATTCTCGTCAAGGGCGCGCGCGCACGCACGCACACACACACATACACACACACACAGAGTTTGATGGTGCAGCAGGAATGGGAACACTTCAGCCATGCCTTCCAGCCTCTGACACACAGATATTCCACCGAAGGCCAGCCAGGAATTCTGGGGTTTGCTTTTATTTTGTTGAAAGTGGCAGTTTTCTCCCAGGAACACAAAGGAACTGAGGATCTGAGTCCTGGGCTGTGGCAGGATGTTCTGGGTCGGGATGCTGACTGTGCTGGAGGCAGAGGCTGGACCACACACGCCTGCCTCTCCCTGGAGCCTGACCTCCAGTTGGGGTCCAGCACTGCGAGAAGCTTAGTGCTGAGTGAGGGAATGAGTATTACCAGCAGAAATATGGCTGATCAACTAGGGTTTAATCCCACTGCCATCATTTAAAAAAAAAATAAAAAATATATATATATAGATATATATCTATATCTATATATATATTAAATATATACTTTATTGATTTTTCACAGAGAGGAAGAGAGAGGAATAGAGTTAGAAACATTGATGAGAGAGAAGCATCCATCAGCTGCCCCCTGTTCACCCCCCACTGGGGATGTACCCACAACCAAGGTACATGCCCTTGCCCGGAATCGAACTCGGGACCTTTCAGTCTGCAGGCCAACGCTCTATATCCACTGGGCCAAACCGGTCCCGGCTAAAATATATATATATTTTTTATCGATTTTTTACAGAGGAAGGGAGAGGGATAGAAAGCTAGAAACATCGATGAGAAACATGGATCAGCTGCTGGGGATGTACCTGCAACCAAGGTACATGCCCTTGACCGGAACTGAACCTGGGACCCTTCAATCCGCTGACCGATGCTCTCACCACTGAGTCAGGCTGGCTAGGGCCGGCTGCCATCATTTAAGTGGTTAAACCACCAAGTTATTAGACCTTTGAGCCTTCCCTGTCCTGTCTGTAATGAAGTCAGGTCCTCGCAGGCCTGCTGTGCAGATGAAGCTGTAAATGTGCATAAACCAGGGCTGGCATGTGAGACTGTCTCAATGGCCGCCGCCTCCGTTTTCCCGGTCCCTCGGGCAGAGCGGAGGGTGCGGCCCAGGTGACGGGAAAGGTGAGGTGCGTTTGGATTGGTCCAATCCACACGGAAGCCACTGCGTGTCCTGCAGCGGGGGCAGTCAGAGGGCCCTTCAGGATGCTGCCCAGCAGCAGCCCCACTGTGAGGCCAACACCTGACCTGCGACACACCCAATGGCCTTCAGGCCCCACACACACCTTCACACACACACACACACACTGTCCCGGGCCTGGGGAGGAGAGGGGCAGAAATAAGGGCAGTATGTGTGATTGCTATGGAGACAGGTGCTCAGAAGACGGGTGCCACTTGTTCTTTATTTCTTCTTCACATGTGAACTCGCCTCATAACGGTAACTGTGAGGCGATATGTCAGAATACACGCTGCTGTAGGGAACAAAAGTCTGACAAACGACTTCAGCAACAACGGGCTTTAACGATCTCACTGCCTGAGGCCTCCGGGGCCTGAGTGGCGGCTACACTTGGCCTTCAGCTCTGCCCTCAGACTGTCGGAGCCATGCACCTGTAGGCGTTACTTCCTCTTCCGAGAAGAAACTGAAGGCCAGAATGCCATACGATTCCAGTTTCCCCAGAAGCAGAGGGAACACTAGGCCATCTTCGTCCCTGGGGGTGGATGCCACTGCCGTTTCTGGCCGCACGGACCCCAAACCTGGTCGCTTTGGAGAAGCCGGGCTGCACCAACAGGCTGCTCCCTGGGGCTGCTCCTGCACCGTCTGGAGCTGCCCGGTGCCTTCAGCAAAGGAGCCAGAACAAGTTCTCTCCAAGCTGACAGGACATGGCTCCCCTTGGGCTGATCACCACCTCTGGGGTGACACCAAACAGCCCAGGCCTTGAGCGAGCAGACAGCACCCTGTGGCAAGCACAGGCACAGCAGCCTGGCCAGCCCACAGGTGCGCTGGACTCCAGGCCGGCACGGCTGTGCCTAGCGGTGGACCTGACTGCGGCTCGCTGTCCGCAGTGAGGAGGCCTGCAGCTCCCGCCTTCGGGTCCAGAGAGGGACCAACGAAGTCAGGCTGATCAGAAAGGAGTTTCAAAGGAGGCGAATTTGGGCAAACACGGGGGGAACTAGAAGTGATTTCTGAGGAGCAGGGAACCGGGGTTAAGGAGTTAAGGGCTCGGACGGTAGTGGAGAGGGAACCAGGAAGTGTGTCCTGTGGCTCCAGCGAGGCTGAACTGACCCTGGTTAACAGAAGGGGTGTGGCAAGGACAGGCCCCGCCCAGCTGCCCCTGGGGCAGGTCCAGATGGATGCTGGAGGGGTCTCCACCACACCTGCTGCCCCTGCCGCCCCCAATCCCACCCACCACCCTCCCCAAGGGGCACGGGCTGGTGTGGGCGTCCCCTCACCAGGTCCCTGCAAACCCCGACCCTGGAGCAGACCCCACGCTGTCCTTTTAGAAATGGGAACCGGTGCTCATGCCAACAGAGAAAACAGGGCAAGGACACTTCACAACCACTGAAACCACATCCTGGTCGCTGCTTCTCAGCTGCCAGGCGGACATGGCTGTCCCTGCGGTGCTGGGAGGAGCACCAGCCAGGAGGCGGGACAGGCCACTTGGTAAAATGTTCGAACCCATTATACCTCCCACCGCCGATCAGGTGCCTGCCTCCCAGGAGCGGCTGCAGCCTTTATTTCTGACTGGCTGGCCGCTCACCGGCGCGCACACTCCACTGTCTGGCCTGGCCGTGTACCTGGCGGCTGAGGGGAGGGCGGCTACGGAGGGAGAGCCGCGGGAACGGGAGCTGGAGAGGGAGCCACTCGGGCCTGGGGACCCAGGCAGCCCGTCACTGGGCCTGCAGAGGGCAGAGGTCACCCTTCAGGGCCGCGCCCCCAGCACCAGCGGAATTTCTGCAAAAGGCTCAGTCTCCAACTGCAGTGGGCGGACGGGAGGGGCGGGGGCCGGGCTGCAGCGGGCGGCTCAGTCCTCTGCCTCCTGTTTGATGTTCTCGATGGACACGGGCAGCTCCGGACTCCGGGCCTTGTCAGGCGTGGCCGCTTCCACGTGCTCCTCCTTCACGCGCACGGCGATGACTGAGGAGGGGGGGGAGGAGGGGGAGGGGCAGTGCATGTAACCCTGGGAAGGCGGGGCTCAGGGCCTCCCTCCCTCCCGATGGGGCCTCAGGGTGAGGGGGGAGAAAGCGGAGCTGCTTGGCTCTGCTCCGATCTGGGTGGGTGTTTCGGAAGCTCTGCTGCCCAGCAGTCTGAGGGCTGCTCGGTGCCCAGAAAATGCCCTTGGGAGCTGACTGCGCCCTTCTGTGCCAGGAGGGAAGGAGTGGCGCCCGCCCTGAGCCTGCCGCCCGCCCGCCCGCCCGGCTCACTCTCGTCCGGACTGGCCGCCGCCGAGACCCTCTCCGGGGCCTGGGCGTCCTCATCCAGCGGCGGCTTCTTGGAGCCCGGTCTCAGGGGCCGCACCTTGGCCGGAGGAATCCTCTTCCCTTTAATAAAAATGGAATTAAACCAGCATCAGGTTCAAAACTCCCATCCTGAGGCTGAAGGCTGACCTCGCCCAGCGCTGGCAGCAGAGCGGAGGGGAATGGGCCTGAGCCTCTGACGTCGCCCTCAGGCTCAGAGCCCTTCACGCCCTCCTACAACCTGAATCCTGCTCAGCGCCTCCCACTGGGCACCTCCCCTCCGGGCGGCGCCCTCATGGAGGCTACTCGCCACCTCCTTCCTCTCCTCCCTGTCCCCTCCAGCCGGGGTCCCCTCCGCCGCTGCCCTGAGCTGAGCCCGTGCTGGACTCGGACCTGCTGAGACGGCACCGCCTGGGGAGCGGCCCTGAAGCTGTGGCTGCCCTGGCCCTCCCCCCCCAGGGGGCAGAGGGAAGCAGCTTTGACCTCCACACCCAGAGGCCGGCTCTTGTCCTGAGGGCATGGCCTCCCCTTCCCTCCCTCTCAGATGCTGCCAGGCACTGAAGGCCCTACTCTGCGCGGGTCACTGACCACAGGGTGACGGCCGAGGGCCGAGGGGAAGGGAGGAGGGAGGGTGACGGCCGAGGGCCGAGGGGAAGGGAGGAGGGAGGGACCGCCGCGTCCTCACTCCTTAGGTAACAGCGCCACTCACTCTTCTTCCCAAACTGCTTCTTCCTCTTCTTCGTGGCCTCCTTGGCCTTCAGCGGCGTGGTTGGCTCTGCGGTTAGAGAAAGGACAGAGCTGAGGAGAGTTCTGAGAGGACACGGGAGAGGCATATCCCCAGACCCCGGCCCGCCCGCACGGCCTCCCTGACGCTCGGGACACCCCAGCAGGAGCCGAAGTTGGGCCACGAGAAGGGGGGGGAGGGACTGGAGAGCAGCTGTCCCTTCCCACCCTCGCCACCAGGGCTGCTCCGGGGCCTGGGGTTTACCTGGTGCACAGGGGCACGAGCATATGACAGAGAGGGCAAGATCAAGGAAGGAGCTCTGCAGGCCAGAGGGAGAGGGAGACAGAGGAGTCAGGAGCAAGGGTGGTCCGGACACTGCTCGGTCTCATGCCCCAGAACGAGGCGGGCACGGCAGGGGCGCGGCCGGAGGAAGGAAGGGAAACAGGAGCCCTGGGGCTGCAGGAAGCCAGACCTGTGGCCACAGGCGGCTGGAGCTGGTAGCCGGTGAGCTCGCACCAGCCGGCGGGGTAGATGTCCGGGGACTCACAGTCCACCCACTGGTCGTACTCGCTGTCCCAGCCGTCAAAGTGGATGCCGAGGAGACGGTGCACCACCCGCCTCACCGTGGCCACGCAGATGAGCCGCGGCTCCGCCAGGTCCACGGCCTCCAGCTTCATGCCCACCCTGAAGCCGTGGTTGGGGCAGTCCTGCGGGAGGGAGGCAGTGACCCGGCCAGCCAGCGCCCTGCCCGGGTGAGTGCCGAGGGAAGGGCCCTCTGACCAATGGCCCCTGCGGGAAAGGACCGCTGCCAGCGGGCGGTGCCTGTGCCGCAGCCGGGCCCTCACCATGTTAAAGAGTCTGGACGGAGCCGCCTTCGACTTGGTCTTTTCCAGGTAGCTGTCCCAGGTGAAGGTGCGGCTGTCGTAGCCTGGAGGAGCAGAGGGAGAGGTGGAGGGAGGAGGGGAGTCGGAGGAGCAGAGGGAGAGGCGGAGGGAGGGGGGAGTGGGAGGAGCAGAGGGAGAGGTGGAGGGAGGAGGGGGAGTGGGGGGAGCAGAGGGAGAGGCAGAGGGAGGAGGAGGGTGGGGGGAGCAGAGGGAGAGGCGGAGGGAGGAGGGGAGTGGGGGGAGCAGAGGGAGAGGTGGAGGGAGGAGGGGAGTGGGAGGAGCCCAGGAGGGAGCACACAGCCACAGGGGGCCTGGGGCCTGGGCAGGCCGGTCTTACCTTTCGGGAGAGTGAGCTCAATGTCGTTCTTCTGGCAGAAGGTGGCTGGGAAGATGGCGTGGGAGGAGGCGTGGTAGCAGAACCAGTCCGAGCCGTCGGTGGAGGGCCCCCCGTCCACACAGAGCATCAGGTAGCCATCCAGGAGGACCTGGGTGGCCGAGAGGGGAACACAGAGAGGCAGGAGCATGAGCCGCCCCCCCAGGGCAAGGCGGCTGTGGTGGGGTCAGAGGCCAGGCTCCTCCAGGTACGCTCTCTGCAGCCTGAGCGTGAGGTCACTGACCTCCTCCCCGGACAGCACTCTGTGCCCAGGCCAGGTCTGTCTGTGCCTCTGTGCTCTCAGGGGAGAGCAGCCAGCGGGAATGTGGGGGCACAGCGGCCGGCTCTGCACGGCTCCCTCTGCCTGCCTCCAGAGGGGTAAGGGCGGCCAGAGCTCACCTTGCAGATGGTGGCCACGCAGATGTTGCCCAGATTCAGGGGGTCGATGGCCTCCAGCTTCATCCCCTCCTCAAACCAGCCGCCTTCTGTGTACACAGCGCGAACCTTAAAGGAAGGGGACAGCTGGGCATCGGGGCAGCCGAGTGCGGGGTGGGGGCAGGCCTCTCCTGCCCCAGGCCTGGGAGGGGACAGGGAGGCCTGGAATGGACCCGCGGTCCCGGGAAAGGCCTGGCGGGGCCTCACCTTCTTGAACAGGTAAGGGACGGCGTCACAGTAGATCTTCCGGAAGGTGGGGTGATGGGCCATGTCGCTGCGCTTCTCTTTGGGGCGATGGCAGAGGGGGAGGGAGAGAAGGGCGTTGAAGGCTGCTAGCAGGGCCGTCGCTACCCTCCCCAGAATGTGGGTGCTGCCGCAGAGGCTGTGACTGAACCTCAGCCCCACCCCCCTGGACTAGACCACCGGCATCAGCACCCTCTGGGCAGCGGCTCCAGCCTTCCTGCTGCCCCGGCCCGTTAGTACAGCTCCTCATGGTGTGGTGACCCCAACCATGACATTATCTTCGTTGCTACTTCACAGCTGTCATTTTGCTACTGTTATGAATCGTAATGTAAATGTCTGTGTCTTCTGATGGTCTTAGGCTCTATAGCGAGTTGAGAATCGCTAGCAGGGTCGCCTAAGACCATCAGAAAACACAGATATTTCCATTATGATTCATAACAGTAGCAAAATCACAGCTATGAAGTAACAATGAAAATAATGTTATGGTTGGGGGTCACCGCAGCATAAGGAGCTGTGCTAAAGGGCCGGGCACTAGGGAGGCTGAGAACCGCTGCCCTATAGACCCATCGCCTCCCATGTGACAAGCAGGAGATGGGCCTGTGGTCTCTGGTTCCAAATCAGTTTCCACCGACAAGCTGAGTGACCTTGGCCACGTCACTCCTCTCTCTGGGCCTCAGTGCGCCACCTGCAGGCGGAGATGAGCACCGCACGGAGCGCGCTGTGGGCACGGGTGGCAGGCAGAGCGGGCTCGCGCCGCCGGGCTCCGCTGACCTGACAGCTTGATGCCATGGCCCACGCGCCGGGACCAGCCCACGGGGTGGATCAGGGGGCTCCACATGTGGCACCAGAAGTCGTCGTCGCTGTCGCCGTCCTCGTACAGGAGCCGCAGGCGGCCCCCGATGACCGTGTCCACCACGGCCATGCGGGTCCGAGACACCTGGGACTTGTCCACCACCTCCAGCCGCATGCCCTGGCGGAAGGGGTACTTCATGCTCTCCACCATCTGCAACACAGAGCACGGCCTGCGTTGGGCATGGGGTGGGCACAGGCCCTGCCACCGCTTTACAGGCAAGAAGGGGAGCTGCCGGAACACCCGCCCCGCGTCCTGAGGGGGACACAGAAGGCGCAGCTTCCGCGCGCACACAGTGCCACAAGTCAGCCTGAGGGAGTGACACCCTCTGCAGACTGAGGAGGCGGGTGCCAGAGGGTCAGGTGACCTGCCCAGTCACACAGTCATTCGTGCCAGAGCTGAGCCTTGCACCTGGGCCCAGTATCCAGCCTCGTGCTCCTCAGGGACCTGCGTTCTGACCCACAGGCATCCCACACTCCCCTCTCCTGCCGGCGGCACACACAGCCTCCTGAGCAGTCACCTTTGCTTCCATCAATTCCGGCTCCAGCCTCAGCGGGCCGCGCCTCTGGATGGCTGAGGAGTTGAACTTCCTAGACACACACACACACACACACACACACACACACATACACACACACCCCGGTCTTCACAGGCAGCGGCTTTGTGTCTGCCCCAGCAGGCACTGCACACCTGGTAGGTGAGACAGTAGCCGCATGCTTGCTTTCTGGTTCCCATGGAACCTGTTCTGCCACCAGAGCAAAGTCCCGTGATTTAGGCAGAAAAGCGGCCGCCTTCTGAAGCACCTCCCTGGTTCGAGCCAAGGCTGCTTTATAATTATTCATGTAATTATATAATTATTCTGCCAGACAGGAGTCTGGACCGCAGGGCCTGTATGCCCACAGCTCTTATAAAGCCTACCGAGTGAACGCTCCTGGGAAACGCTACGAGCAAAGGGAAGGGCGCAGAGGAAGAGCGCAGACCAGGTAGGGTGGTGGATGCGGCGGGATCAGTGTCTGGGTTGGGAGGAGGCAAGAACCACCATCCTCCCCTGAGAAACATGGAGCCACCCCGACTGTTAAACAGGGTGTCTCAGGAAGGACACGCCGGCGAGCAGCAGGAAGCATGTAAAACCGGAGGGGCAGGAAGGAGATCACTTAGACCCCAGGGCTCAGGGCCAGACCTTGATATGAAAATCCACGGGGAGCGTCCTGGAGCCCACCAGCCGTTTCATGAGGTAGCCCTTCCAGTCGGTGAATTTGGCATGGATGGCTGCGAGAACAAGATTCCTGGTTACACGCTGACAACACTTCCACCGGCAGAGGGCGCCAGAGCTACCCCCCGAGATCAGCAGAGGAGACGGACAACTTATTTCTGCCTTTGCGGTCAGCGGTCAGGTCAGCGTCAGCCATCGCCTCGGCCTACAGAACCAGGCTCTACGGCCTGGAGCTGCCCGAAGCCTCTGGGACAGAGGCGGCAAGTGGCTTCTCTTCTGCCTCAGTGAAGGGCCCGCCGAAACCCGCACACAGAGCCCTCGTCCACTCACTCCGCGGGGGCACCAGGATCTTGCTGTTGATGGCACACCAGCCGATGGGGTGGACATCCACAGTTCCCAGGTTGCACCAGAAGTCGTGGCTGGCATCGTTTTCAAAGCCCTCATACCGAAGCAGCACTCGGTACCCTGGAGGACAGGACCGCAGTGAGGGAGGGTGCGACGGGGAAAGGGATGTTCTTAGGCTTCTCCTTCCGCTGCCGCCCCCGAGAACTCCGTGTGGACACTGCGGTCTCTGCTGCCCGCAGTCATGGCCAAAGCAAGCCCATGCCACTTACTTGGGAAGCAGTGTGGCCCAATGGGAGAATAATCATTCTACTGCCTGATTATCCCTGGAATAAACTAAAAAATGGGAGTTTCCACACTCACCAAGCTCTGCATTGCCAGGGAGCCAGGAACGCCAGCGGGGGGGGGGGGGGGGGGGGGCGGGCTCTGCCGCTTGCAGCACTGCCCACCCACCTGCAGGTGCCCCTCTGCAGACCCCGCTCCCGCTCGGCCGGGGCACCCACCTGCGGCCTGGATGACGGAGGCGATCCAGTACACCCGGCTGGGGAGCACGGCGTCACTGTTGAGCACCTCCACCTTCATCCCCTTCGTCACATCCTCCCACTGGTCATAGAGGGGGACCTGCGGGGAGGAGAGCCAAAGGGACCGGTGACTGCCTGCCTGGCTGGCGGAGAGCATGGCCCCGTGGCTTCCTAATTGTGTCTTTGGCCTTTCCCATCAGTCCCTGGGTGCGGAAACCAGGCACGGGGCGAGGGAGGAAGAGCTGAGCAAGGTGTGTCTGTGCCCTTGAAGAGCAGAGTGAGGGGATGGACGGGGTGGCCAGGGTGACGGTCAGAGATCCAGTCAGGCGCCCTGAGTATTTGTCTGTACAGGACCAGCTCCTCGCTGTCTCATCTTGAGCGCATGACACACGGACGGTTGCTATGCTTACCATGTGCCAAGCCGTTCTTGGCACAAACATCACCTTAAATCGTCACTCAGCCTGGGCAGCAAGGATATGACCCCCTGGTCTCTCAGCCATGGCCACGCCGGTTCCCACAGCGCTGCCAGCACACATCACTCCCAGTGTGTTCTCTCTGCACCTCCAGCTGGTCCTCTCTCCTGCTGAAGTGTCCCCTACAGCTAGGGACTGTTTTTTGGGTGCCTTCCCAATAACTGGTCCTCACTTTGCTGCCCATGGCACCTTGCTCTCCTTTGGGGAAATTCGCCTTTTCGGCATTCTCAGCCTCGCTTAAGCCGATCCATCCTGCCCCATCTCCCCACCGCAGAGACTGGGTTCATCAGAGAACCCAGACATGCTGCCAGGCGCACAGGGGGGCTGTTCCCGGAGCACAGGGCTCGGATGGTAAATGCCAGCGTGATGCTAACGCCCTGCGGCACAGGTGCCAGGGCCCGGAGGGTAGAGAACTCCGGAAAGAAGGCAACTAGGAAAGAGGGCCTCACCCGCAGCTCAGGGGAGTGGAGGCTGCGCCGAGGGCCAGCTGCTGGCTGTCCAGGGCGCCCTGCAAGTTCGGCAGCAGCTCAGAAAGGGGCGGCCAGGGAGGGTTCACTCTGGGGAGAGGCCTCCTCCTCCATTTCCTGGCGTTTTGGAAACTGGCTTAGAAGACAAAGCCAGAGCCCTGCTTGTCTGCGGAAGCTTCCCATTCACATCCAGTGCCTCCACCCGCCCAGCCCCGGGCTCACCTGCGGGTTTCTCAATGCCGGGCCAGGGAGCTCTGCAGAGACTCCGGTTTCCCCTCTGCCTCCCAGGGTGGTTGAGAAGCACCCAGCTTCCCGGGGGGCAGAAAGGAGACAGGACACTGGGTGTGGGACATAGGCCAGCAGAGTCCCAGAGTGTAAGCAACGATTCCGCAGAGGGGAGTGCAGGGCCAGAGCCTCAGGGAGGCCGCAGGGAAGACTTTTACAAAGGGAACAGAGAGGTAAAGGAGGAACAGAGCTGGCTTCCGCCACCCAGGAGCCCTCCGCCACCACCGCCACCACCGCCACCACCGTTCTCTCTGGTGCCAAGGCAAGCCCAGCGGGAGCAGTCTGCGGGGCAGTGAGTGAGGTAGGTGGAGAGCCCGGGCTCCCGCTCCCTCCCCGCCCACCGGGCACTCACGTGTTTAAAGCAGCTGACAGGGGCGGCCTTGTAACTGTGGTCCTTCAGGAACTTCCCCCAGTCGAAGCCCAGGACCAGCGCTGCAGACACAGAGGAGCTGAGAGGGGTCTGGGAGCGCAGGCAGTGGCCACTCCAGGGACCTGGCCCTGAGGAGGGAGAGGCAGGTCCCTTCCCACCACAGCGGCTCAGGCCCCAGTGCACGGCGAGGCCACCAGTGCCCGTACCTGCCCCACGAGAGGCCATCGGGACCTCATCCAACGCCCGCCAGACTCCCCGGAGTAAACAATCCAAGGAGATGTCTGACCTTCCTTCCCTCAGAGAAAAACGCAATTCAAAGACCCTGACCGTCATTGGCTGCAGCACGCAACCCGCACGCCTATGGAGCTCGGACCACTCAGCAGTTGCTTTGTGCCGGGTTTAACTGCTCAGAAACTGCTCCACTCCCAGGTTCCTTTCTTATTGCACACCCTCTCCTAACGAGACCTGGCTTTCCACCGCCAGGAACGGTGAACGACAGCACAGAGCGCAGATCAATGCAGAACAATAGAGGCCAATCACGGCTTTTGAACGATCCGTGGGGGGCCCGCCATTAGGGTGTCTGAGGGGATTTCCCCCACCAGGCGAGGAAGATGCAGCCAGTCAGCCTGGGCCAGGGCTCTTTCCGGCTCTTCTCTCCTCTCTCCCAGCAGGGGCCACCCCAGTCCTGGCACCCCGCACCCATGCCCAGAGCTTCCTGCGCACAGAACCCGGCCCTCTTACCGTCTTGCCCTGTGGGTGTCCCATCGGCCAGCTGCCCCGTCCCCTGCGAGTGGAGAAAAGCTCCGATCTTGGCCGACCAGGCCGCCTTGTGCAGGACTTTGGCTTTCTTCGTGGGCGGCTTTCCCTGGGGCGGAGAGGGTGCGAGCATCGGCTAAGCATCCGGCTCTGCCCGGGTTTACATCTCAACAGGGGTCAGCTCCCAGTGAGCCCTCTGGGGCTCGGTTCTCCATTTGTTAATCAAGTGATACTAATACAATAAGGATGGGCTGGGGGCTTGACTCTTGCTCAGTGGGGAGGGACTGGGGACAGATGGCGGAGCAGCAAGGCAGAGGGACACCTGCTCCATCTTTTAAGCTCGTGCTTCCTCCAGCAACCTTTTCCTAGCGGCTTCCACTCTCAGCATCCCTTGCTCCTGCGCTTCTACAGCTTTATGGCGGAGAATGGGCTTCAGGGGATCTGTGACCTGCACCAGGAGACATTCTGTATATCCGCGAATGTTCTGCTCCTATCAGTGCTCAAAGACGCCCCCAAAGCGGAAGGGCGCTGATCCATTCTGTGACTTGTAACTTAAGCGCTGCTAGAAAGGCCCAGGAATTTACAGAGATCAGTGTAGTGGGTTTAGAACCCAAACAAACCTGGGGTCAAGTCCTGGCTCAATTTTATTTGTGCACCTTCCAGCAAGTTACTAAAATGCATTGGCCCTTTAAAAGGAATTTTTAAAAATTATTTTATTAGCCAAAACCGGTTTGGCTCAGTGGATAGAGCGTCGGTCTGCAGCCTGAAGGGTCCCAGGTTCGATTCCGGTCAAGGGCATGTACCTTGGTTGTGGGCATATCCCCAGTGGGGGGTGTGCAGGAGGCAGCTGATCGATGACTCTCTCTCATTGATGTTTCTAACTCTCTCTCTCCCTTCCTCTCTGTACAAAGTCAATAAAATATATTTTAAAAAATTATTTTATTAGAGATCTCTAGTTACACTGAGAGTGCCAAGCCCTTAGTAAGTTCCTCAGAATTGTAGCTATTAACGGTATGATCAGCTCACTGAGGAAGGATTTTCCATTCCTGATTTCATACAAAAAGAGGGAAACAGAGTCATGGTCTCAGGAGGGTGAGAGGGTGGGAGGCGCCGGCAGAGCTGGCCCCTGGCTCACCGCACAGCAGAGCAGGGCCACAAGCTGCCTGCACATCCGGGCACCTGAGGAGCTCTCTGAGCCCACATGTCCAGGCCCCCTCACCCATCCATCAGGCTCTCTGGGAGGGAGACCAAGCACAGTATTTCTAAAGCCTTCTAGGTGATCTCAGCATGCTGTCCAGTCAGAACAAGCGTGTGGATGGCGGCCAGTCACCATAAACAACACAGGCCAGCGCTGACACTGGCTTCCAGCCTCGCTCTGCCACCCGCGTCCCAGAGCCCCTGGGGCGAGTCCCTCTTCCTCTGCCAGCACACGTACCAGTGAACGTGTGGGTCAGACACACATCAGAATCCTTCCATGTCTGAAACGTCTCTGAATGTCAGCCATCAGCTAGAGATCAGGAGGAGTGTCTGAGTGGCTGCCTGAGCCATGGAGTCAGAGATGAGGCCTCACCTATCTAAGCTCGCTGTGGCTGGTTCCCAGCTCCCTTTCAGAACATTTATAAAAGTGTGGTACAAGGACCAAGGGCGTTTTTAAAACTCATTGAACCTCCCAGAGTGGGAATGGAGTGATGCTAATAAGTTAACAAGCTCCACACACACATCCCTCTCCCTCTAAAGCCCGAGGTCAGAATCAATACCAGGCCATTGACATCCTCGGATGGACACAGCAAGGTCCTTCCCAGCCCCGGTGGCCCTTGCCACCAGTCTCAGCACCGAGGGCCCCAAGGGGGTCTTCCCAGGTGGCCGCCTCTCACCTGTAATCGAGCCAAGATGCTGGCTTTCTTGGAGTTGGAGGAGTAGCTCCTGGAACAGGAGACGCTGCAGAACCTCTTGGTCTTGGAGAAGAAGGCTTCCCTTGTACCCACGATACCACACATCTCACAGACAGCTGGGAAGAGAACTGAGCACGTGACTCACCTGATAGGTCACCCCAGATCAAACAGAATGACGGGCCCTTCAAAACCCGGGCCCTGCATTAGCCAGGGAAGTCCTGAACCTGTGTCGCCAAGATAAGCTGCCTGGCGTCCCTTGGCTCTGTGCCAATAGAGGGGCTAAGAAAAAGCCACGAAGAAACGGGTGGGAAAGTTTGCAGAGGAAAAAAGTAGAAAAAAGTGCCCAAATCATTTAACTTCTGAGTCTTTTTCTCGTCTATAAAGAGACTGAACTAGATCAGGGTTTCAACCCCAACTTCACAGTAGAATCACTTGGGGGCTTTTAAAAACGCCCAGGCAGAGCTAGAGAACTCTGGGCCAGCTGGTCTCTATTTCTAAAGTTCTGAGATTCTAAGAGAACTGGAAGACAGAAGGGCGGAAGACACAGGAAGGCAGAGAAGATGGGATGAATAGGAAGGAAATAAGATTCAGCAGGCAAAGAGTCTTGGGTAATTGTTCCAGAGTTTGGGCACCAAGGAACAGAGTGTCCTCAGAGCCCGCCTGGCTAACCTGCCTTTTCACAGGCAGTCACATGTGGAGGCCGGACACGGGCCAGCAGCTGTCCACGCATCACCTCACTGAAGCCAGCTGGCTTCCACATGCTCCATGGGATTCTCTGCCAACCCACCTTAGTCCTCTTACCCAGAGGCACTCTATTCTCTGCTTCCCTCACTGTCCCCTCCGCACCATAAGCTATTTCTTGTTCCTTCCTGGATAATAATCAGAACACTTCCGGTATCCTACCTTTTCAACATCCATGATTAAAAATCCACCAGCTGCCCTCACTGGTTTGGCTCAGTGGATAGAGCATCAGCCTGTGGACTGAAGGGTCCCAGGTTCGCTCAAGGGCACATGCCTGGGTTGTAGGCTCAATCCTCAGAAGGCAGCTGACCAATGATTCTCTCTCATCAATGATGTTTCTCTCTCTTTCCTTCTCCCTCTCTGAAATCAATAAAAAAATAAAAATCCACCAGCTACCCTGGCTTAGTGCATAGAGCATTGGCCTGTGGACTGAAAGGTCCTGGGTTCGATTCTGGTCAAGGGCACATGCCTGGGTTGTGGGATCAATCCCCAGTAGGGGGCATACAAGGATTCTCTCTCATCATTGATGTTTCTCTCTCTACCTTCTCTCTTTCTCTTTGAAATTAATAAAAATATATGTTTTTAAAAGTCCACCAGCTATTCACACAAATGTAAAAGTAGTACCATGTCAATGACTAGCATCTAATATGGGCTGAATAAAATCAGTTGTATGAAAGAGGGAGTGAAGCCACAATTTGAAATCAGACCGGGGGATACTCGGGGTGCTTCTGTCTCTCTTCGGTCCTTACACATCTGACCCCTTACACGGAAGATCCCACAGCCCTTTCCCCTGACAGAGCTGTGCCACGGCCTCTCCCCTCCCCCACAGCCTCCTGAACCCCCCTCTTCAGGGAACTCGGAAGGCACCTGGCTCGGAACCACTGCCGTCCAAGGAGCGCGGAGTCCCCGGGCTGAGCAGATGCAGCGGGGAGGTGGGCAGCTCCCCGGCCTCCCGCTCCTCAGTCTCGGCTTCGCTGGACTCCTCCAGGCAGGAGCTGCTCTCGCTGCCCGCGCTGCTGTTACAGCCGCGGAAACTGTCATAGCCACCGAACAGCTCCAAGTCCCCCTCTTCCTCCTCTTCCTCCATCGGCTCCGAGGAAGGAACCTCCTAGTGAAGAGAGAATGACACAGAGCAGGCAGGAAGCATGGTTGGCAGCTGCTGCCTTTCCAGTTTAGGCCAGTCAGCATTTCCGGGCAAAAAAGCAGGCAGAACCCAATGCCCCTTTGCGAACACCACGGTCATTATACTCTTGTTCGGACAGCTTGCAGGCGTAATTCAACAGAAGAGCTTAAAACAGGAAAAAGCGTGTTTTAGGAATTAACCAAGCTCCTCCTGTGGATTTGTAAGTGATGCTGTTAACATGATTCAATAGAATACAATGATATGAAAATATCCTAAATGAGGTGCCTCACGAAAACTTTCTGGGAAAGAAATATACAGTCAGCCCTCCTTATGGGTTCCACATTCCCATAAAAAAAAAAAAAATTCAATACGTTACAGTATTGCTGACATGTGCTATATAGTTAGGCCTAAGGTTGCATCTATACTGAATATTTGAAGACAATTTTCTTTTCTTATTCCTTAAGTGATACAGAATAATAACTGTTTACATAGCATTTCTATTGTATTAGGTGTCATAAGTAATCAGGAGATGATTTAGGATATATGGGAGGATGTGCATAGGATATTTGCAAATACTACGCTATTTTACACAAGGGACTTCCAAAACCGGTTTGGCTCAATGGATAGAGCGTCGGCTTGGGGACTGAAAGGTCCCGGGTTCGATTCCGATCAAGGGCATGTACCTTGGTTGCGGGCATATCCCCAGGAGTAGGGGGTGTGCAAGAGGCAGCTGATCGATGACTCTCTCTCATCGATGTTTCTAACTCTCTATCTCTCTCCCTTCCTTTCTGTACAAAATCAATAAAAATATAGTAAAAAAAAAAAAAAAAAAGGGGGGGGGGGGACTTGAGCACCTGCAGATTGTGGTGTCTGCAGGGGTTCCTGGAACCAATCCCCCCGGATTCTGAGGGAAAGCTGCGCAGGCATACCTCATTTTACTGCACTTTGCTGTACTGCACTTCACAGAGGTTGCGATTTTTACAAATTGAAGGCAAGACCCTCCACCAGCAAAAAGATTACGGCTGTCTTCGTTGGGGGGGGTCTGGAACTGTACTCAGTAGAAATTTTACTCTCCCCCCTTCAGCATACGTACATCAAAATAACCTCAACTCAAAACAAATTAAGTCAGAGGGAAGTTATTTTGGGACCCAGGCTGCCATAAGGATGTGGAAGGCAGAAGACACACTACCCTGTTTTCCCGAAAATAAAACAGTGTCTTATATTAATTTTTGCTCCCAAAGATGCGCTAGGTCTTATTTTCAGGGGATGTCTTATTTTTCCATGAAGAAGAATACGGTACACATTGATTGTTAAATGAAAATAAAGGAAATTTATTACCTGTATATGGTACGGTAGTACGGTAGTTGTCAAGACAAACCAGACAAACTGTGAATCTTACAGTATCAAGAATTTACTCATTTATTCAATGACAATCATGTCATCATCTTCTGGAACATCATCATAACAATCCAATTACTGAATTTCCTGGTGAGTTTCTTGTGACTCCATTTCTTTCAGAATCAGTGGACCAAATCTCTCATGTTTAGCCTGGGGGGGCCTTATTTTCGGGGGGATGCCTTATATGTCACTCAGAAGGAAACCTGTAAGTAGGTCTTATTTTCGGAGGATGTCTTATTTTCGGGGAAACACGGTAGCTATAGCACAGTGGAATGTACCCCAACTTTGGACTTAGCTCTGATCCTACCTCGCTGGGGCTCTGGGGCAAGTCATTTAACGTCTCTGGTTCCCAGTTTTCTCGTCTATAAAATAAAACACCTGCCTCACAGGATGTGAGATGTAAATGAGACAGTGTATAAGAATCTACCTGGCATCTAGAAAAGGTGTGAAGAATTTGGACTCTAGGTCAGGGCTCAAATACCATCTCTAGTTTTTGTTGTTAATCCTCACCTGAGGATTAACAGAGAGGGTGTGGGAGGGGGGGAGAGAGGAAGGAGGAGCAGAGAAACAGCATTGTGGAGAGACACAGCTACTGGTTGCCACCCCCACACCCCTCCACCTGACCAGGGTGGGAGCGAGCAGCCCTTGCTCTAATCACTGCGTACCCTGCAGGGCCATGGCTAGTTCACCAGCTGTGTGATCGCAGTGAGCCAGTCTTTCAGTGCCTCAGTTTCCCCATCTGTAAATGAGCACATACCACCTCCCTCACAGGCCTCAGGGGGAAAGTGAGGATTAATATTGTAAAGCACTGGGAACAGTGACCTGCGCATGGTAAGTATTCAATAAATACTGGCACTTTTTACTGGTTAAAAGCATGGCAGCCGAAACCGATTTGATTCAGTGGATAGAGCATCGGCCGGTGGACTGAAAGATTCGATTCCGGTCAAGGGCATGTACCTTGGTTGCGGGCACATCCCCAGTGGAAGGGTGTGCAGGAGGCAGCTGATGGATGTTTCTCTCTCATCAATGTTTCTCATTCTTTGTACCTCTCCCTTCCTCTCTGTAGAAAAACAATAAAAAATATTTTTTAAAAAAAATAAAAGCATGGATATAAGTACAACCAATGGACACAAAACTCTGGGGAGGGAGGGTATGTATGGGAGGGGGAGCAATGTTAAAATATGTACACAGATAATAATTTAATAAAAAAATGTAAAATAAAAAAATAAAAAAAAAATAAAAGCATGGCATTTCAAATCAGACCTGCCCAGGTTTGAATCCTGGCTCTGCCGCTTTTCTGTGTGCTTTGGCGCAAGTCAGCTACCCTTGCTGCTCTGGCTCTTCATTAGTGCACCAGAGACCATAGCAAGCCTTCTCTGGAAGACGGTTATGGAGATGGAGCTGTGTAAAGCCAAGTCTGTTTCCAGCAGTTAGTGACAGCTCTCAAAGGGTGAGCTATCATTCTCAAATATTCCCCCCCAATTAATTTCAGGGAGAGGAAGGGAGGGGGAGAGAGAGAAATATCAATGATGAGAGAGAATCAACAATTGGCTACCTCTTACTGGGGGTTGATCCCGCAAGCCGGGCATGTGCCCAGACCATGTGACCCCCTGGTTCAAGGACTATTCCACTTTATTATTATTATTACTTAATTTTTTTCAAGGGAGAGAGCGAACGCAGTCCCCCACTACCACAAACGATGCAGTCGAGTTTCCCACATTTGGGAAATCACATCCGGAGTGCCATGGATAAGCCTCGCCTGGGAAAACCACCTTCGTGCTCACGGTACCTCCCCTGCTAGGTAAGTATCCCATTCCACTCTCTATTTCCAACTACGCATGCAAATGTGCTGGGAAGGAAACTGGATTCAAATACAAGGTGACGAGGCCCTGCCATCCAGGCTAAGTGAGTGGGGCCTCCTGCCAGGAGGTGGCCCGTTGGATTCCCGGTCCCGGCAACAGCCTGGGTGGCGGGCTCGATCCCCGAATGCCCAGTAGGGGGCGTGCAGGAGGCAGCCGATAGATGTCTCTCTCCCCCTTTCCCTTCTCTTCCCCCCAAAACAAACAAAACCCCACCAGGTGACCGGAAGCCAACGACGACAGAGTGCGTGGGTCAGTTCGCAGCGGCGCGGGGGACGCTAAGAGGTGGGGTTTGGGGGCCGGTCTCCCCCGCTGCCGGCGGGGGGAGCCTCGGGGTCCCGCTCCCGAGGCCGCAGCGGCCAGGACCGCAGACGCGGAGCGGTCCCCGGACGGCGGTGCGGGGCCCGGAGACGCGCACGCGGCCGCCTCGGCACCGAGTGTTTGTTAAGCCCGCACCTCCCTCCGCGTCGCCGGGACGTGACAGGCCGCACGATCAGTCCCCTAAGACCCGGCCACGCGACAGGAGGGGCGACGGAGATGGAGCTCTCAGACCCCCCCCCCCCCCAGCCCCCTTCCCCGAGGCCCGGGCGGCGGTTCCTCCCGGAACTCCTCGCCAGACGGGCACCCCGGCCACGCGGACCGAGAGGCAGCAGCGCCCACCCCTCCCGGCCCTGCTCAGCCGGTTTATCCATCCTCCACCCTGCACCCAAAGGCCTCCGGCGGGGCCCCCCGAGCCAGGCTCTCGGGGCCCCCTTCCCCTCGCCCCAGAAGTCCTCTCCCGCTCACCTCGACGCCGCGCGGCTTCTCCATGAGACCCAACAGTTTCCACGGCCGTCACCGGGTGCGGGAAGCCATATTGGCCTCGCCGCTCTTTCCCGCGGGCGCTCATTGGTCGCCGCCCAGAGCCGCGAGCCAATCACGCTTCAAGAAAGAGGAGCAGCGGGTGCCGCCCTCGCCTGCGCCCCTCCTCCCCCTGAGGCGGGGCATTGTGGGACTTGTAGTTCACTCGTGGGAGCTGGTGGCGGAGGGGGCGTTACAACCTGAAAATCCCCCGCGCTGGTTCTTTTTTTTATTTATTTTTTATTTTATTGATTTTTTTTACAGAGAGGAAGGGAGAGAGCTAGAAACATCGATGAGAGAGAAACATTGATCAGCTGCCTCCTCCACACACCCTACTGGGGATGTGCCTGCAGCCAAGGTACATGCCCTTGACCAGAATCGAACCTGAGACCTTCCAATCCGCAGGCCGGCGCTCTATCCACTGAGCTAAACCGGTTTCGGCTGGTTCTTTTTATTTCTCTAAGACAATCTCTTCCCGTCACCCAGATCCCACTCTGTATTAATCAGTTATTGATACCTGCGATAGTCAGGACCAGATGCCTAGTTGAGAAACTCAGTTCCAATTCAGGTAGAAACGGGAATATTCTTATGCCCGATGCTATACATGCTCCGCATGTTTAAAATCCTGGAACACAAGCCCTACGTCACCATCTCCAGAGTAAAACCTCAAGGATGATGCTCTCTGCCTCATTCTGTTTGGATTTCTCACAACCTTCTTCAGGCTCCCAGTGCCAGGTGCTGTCCTGGAGCTTCGCAAGCATCTCAGATCCTGGGACGCCGTCACCCTTTGAAAGATGAGGAGACAGTATATCAACAAGCAGACTGTCAAATTACAGCGGGGAGGGGAGGAAGATCTGGGGGAGATAATAGATCAACCGAAGGACTTTTATACATGCACATAAGTACAACCAATGGACATAAAACTCTGGGGAGGGAAGGGAAGTGAGGGAGGGAGGGAGGGGGGGAAAAATCAAAAAAATATATATATATTAAAAAAAAAAAAAGACTGAAGAAAGGACCTCTTTTCCACTATTTTGAATGCTTAATAGCTAATTTCATAACATCACATGTACCATTTTAAGAAAGTGATGATTTAGTGGGAAATTAAAGCTTTGCATCTGTATACTGTAAATATAAATGACGATTTGTTTGAAATGTGTAACTTGGATATGCAAAAGATAATAACTCACAATGTTAATATTAAATATTCCTTCAAAAAAAAATAAATAAAAAAATAAAAAAAAATAAAAAAAAATAAAAAAAAAAAAAGAAAGATGAGGAGACAGTGGCACTTGGCGTTTAGACAATTTCCAAGATCACACTGGGTTGGAATTTTAAAATTAGTTTAAATTTTTAACATAGGGTTATGGGGTGCTCTGATTTAATTGAGAATCTAACTGTAGTAAATGGTGGCTAAATATGTATTAAATATATTTCTTTAATAATTTTTTTTTAATTGCCTAGCCAGTGTGGCTCAGAGGTTGGGTATGACCCATGAACCAAGAGGTCACTGGTTGATTCCTGGTCGGGGCACATGCCTGGGTTGTGGGCTCTACCCCAGGTTGGGGGCATGCGGGAGGCAGCCAATTGACATTTCTCTATCATCAATGTTTCTCTCTATTCCTTTCCCTTTCTTGCTCTCTAAATCAATAAAAAAAATGCATTAAAAACGTTATTGATTGATTGATTTGAGAGAGAGGAGTACCAACTTGCTACTCTGCCCTTCTATGAATTCATTGGTTGAATCTTGCATGTGTGCTGACCGGGGATCAAACCAGTTTCAGGGTTCAATTCCTACATACCTTAGTTGTGGTTTTGGTCCCTAGCCCCAGTGGTAGGAAGCAACTGATTACTGTATCCCTGTCACCTCAATGTTTCTTTCTCTCTCTAAACATGAATGGGAAAAAAAATATCCTTCTTGGGTGAGGATTAAAAAACAGGGGGGGCAAGAAGGCAGTTGGGGCTCATCAGAGAGCCCTGCCTGGAGATCTAAATTCTGCAAATTTTGGCATCCTCCCTTTAAGACAGAATGAGAGTCCCTGCATCCTCACGCTGGACCACACCTGCTTTCTCAAGTTTACATACAGCTTCTCCCATGACGCACAGCCACGCCCCCTCCTTCATGACCGCCGTCCTTTCTCGGGCCCCGTGGGTGTAGTCCTGCCTCTCGGCCCAATGGCCAACTCTCTCTCCTTTGCAGGACCCTCCTCTTCTACCTGAATCCTTTCATTTTTCCCAAACCTCCCTCAAGTACTTCCACTTTTATTTTTTTATTTATTTTTTTTTAAATATATTTTATTGATTTTGTACAGAGAGGAAGGGAGAGAGATAGTTAGAAACATCGATGAGAGAGAGTCATCGATCAGCTGCCTCTTGCACACCCCCTACTGGGGATATGCCCGCAACCAAGGTACATGCCCTTGACCGGAATCGAACCCGGGACCTTTCAGTCCCCAAGCCGACGCTCTATCCATTGAGCCAAACCAGTCCTGGCGAGTACTTCCACTTTTAAAAAACATATTTTTATTGAGTTCAGAGAGGAGGGGAGAGAAAGAGATAGAAACATTAATGATGAATGAATCATTGGTTGGCTGCCTCCTGCGCGCCCCCTACTGGGGATCAAGCCTGCGACCCGGGGCATGTGCCCTTGACCAGAATTGAACCTGGAACCCTTGAGGGAGAGAGAGAAACATCAAATCCACAGGCCGAGGCTCTATCCACTGAGCCAAACCGGCTAGGAGAACTTCCACTTCTTTCTGTCCCCACGGCCAGCACTGGACTCCAGACCACCATCCTTCCGCCTCTGCATTCCACCGAAGTGTCCTGGCTGGTCTCCTCTCCTCTCCTGTCTGTAAATTGGATCAATTAACTCACCTGCACCTTTAGGCTGGGTGCTTTTTTTTTTTTTTTTTTTTTTTTTTTTTTTTTTTTTAATTAATCCTCACCTGAGTTTATTGATTTTTATCGAGAGGGGAAGGAAGAGGGAGGGAAACATTAATTGCTTCCTGCAATGTCCAGACCAAGGAGCACATCGCAACCTGGGTACCTGCTCTGACCGGAATCCATCCAGCGACCCTTCTGTGCACAGGGCAACGTTCCACCCATTGAGCCACACCGGCCGGGGCTGGGTGGTCTTTATCGCATCACTCACTTCTGTCCGGCCTTCCCCCAGTTACTTTTATGAGATCTTTGGGGAGGGCTCCGGCCGGTTTGGCTCAGTGTGGGCCTGCGGACTGAAGGGCCCCAGGTTCCATTCTGGACAAGGGCACATGCTGCGTTGTGGGCTTGATCCCCCAGTAGGGGGCGTGCAGGAGGCAACCAATCCATGATTCTCATCATTGATGTTTCTCTCTCTCTCCCTCTCTTCCTCTCTGAATAAAAACACATTTAACAAAATCTTTGGGGAGGGAGCCATGAGTGAGAGGACAGCAGAGTTCTCGCTCTCATGGGGCTTTCATTCCAGTGAGATCATCAGGTCCTCTGATCACCGGGCCCTGTGATCACCGGGCCCTCTGGTCACCGGGCCCTGTGATCACCGGGCCCTCTGGTCACCGGATCGGAAAGGAGAGACCAGTGCTCTCGGGTCAGTGACTGCTCTGGCGGGGCCGCTCCCCGCTCCCTGGGCGGGACTCAGTCCCCTCATCTGGCGCCCCCTGGTGGGGGGTAGGGATCTGGCCGCGGTCAGAGGTGATTGCACTGCCCACCCGACCCCCCACCCCGACACCCGCGCCAACCCCCGGGCCCGGGGGGCGGGGTCAGCCGAGGGGCGGGGCCTGCGTCACGTGGCGGCGGCGCGCGTGGAGGGAGCGCCAACCGCCGACCGTTCCGCCCGCCCCGCCCCCCGGAGCCCGCGCCCGGGGCGGCTTCTGGGAGCCGAGCGCGGCGGGGGCGCGGCGGGGGCGCGGCGGGAGCGCGGCGGGGGCGCGGCGGGGGGCGCGGCGGGGGGCGCGGCGGGGGGCGCGGCGGGGGCGCGGCGGGGGGCGCGGCGGGGGTGGCGGCGGGTCCGAGGCGGCCGGGAGGGGCGGCGGGCGGCGGCCCCGGAGCCACCGAGCGGGCCCCCGGGCGGGGCGCTGAGCGGGCGGCGCCGGGCACGGAGGGTTCGATACTGAGCTGCCCGGCAACGGCCGCCCCCCCGCCGCCCACACCGGGCGGAGGCGGAGCCGGGACGCGAACCCGGGTGGGTGGCGCCGGCGGCGGGGGGGCTGATGGTGGAGGAGCTCGGCCCGGACCCTCGGGGGCCGGGGCGTGTGGTCCCGGCCGCTGGCCCCTCCGCGGGAGCCGGCGGACCGGAGCGGCTCGGTGAGCGGCGCTGCCGTTTGGAAGCTCCGGCCCGGCCACGGGAACCCCCGGCGGCCACGGGGACCCCCACCCCGCCGGCCACGGGGACCCCCCACCCAGGCGGCCACGGGGACCCCCACCCCGGCGGCCACGGGGACCCCCCACCCAGGCGGCCACGGGGACCCCCACCCCGGCGGCCACGGGGACCCCCCACCCAGGCGGCCACGGGGACCCCCCACCCCGGCGGCCACGGGGACCCCCCACCCAGGCGGCCACGGGGACCCCCACCCCGGCGGCCACGGGGACCCCCCACCCCGGCGGCCACGGGGATCCCCTCCCCGGCGGCCACGGGGACCCCCCCACCCCGGCGGCCACGGGGACCCCCCACCCAGGCGGCCACGGGGCCCCCCGGCGGCCACGGGGACCCCCCGGCGGCCACGGGGACCCCCCGGCGGCCACGGGGACCCCCCCACCCCGGCGGCCACGGGGATCCCCCCCCCCCCGGCGGCCACGGGGACCCCCCCCCCGGCCCCCGCTGAGCGCCCGCCCCGCCGCCCGCCCGGAGGGAGCGGGACGGCCGGCTGCGGCCCATCCCCTCGGGGAGCAGATGGAGCGGCGCCACCCTCGCCACCCTCCCCGGCTCCCCGGCTCCCCGGCTCCCCGGCTCCCCGGCTCCCGGTGACTGGCCGCCT